ACATTTCGTGATGCGCTTCGTAAACCTACGACTTTTGGCTGGGTTAGTGTAATTTACTCGTTGCATATGTTCTTTTAAGTATCCCTTCACTTAGGTCATGCGTCCCGTATCCTTCGAGCATGCAGGCACGTCTCGCGTCATTCACCCCAACCGCGGCACTCGTCAGTTACCTCCACTCGAGAAGACAACAGTGGTTGCTCCACAAATAAATCATCCGAGCCCACGGCGCTCAGTGTTGATGCGAGGTAGGAGCGCTCTCACGTGCCAAACAGGTGCACCGTGCAGCGCAGCGAATCGGTGGATCCGATCTTTTTTACATGCCAGCACTGTGAGCAACTGCCGTCCGAGACCCTCGAATGACGTGGTCTTTATATATTCTCACGCAGTGACATCATCGAGTGCCTATGTGCTATATATATACGTACCTACTTGGATCAGATAGGCGTGTTTACATTTTAGTAATGAACATCGGCGTACGCAGTGGGAAGGTGGGGCACCCGCTCCTCTATATATAGTCATCTGAATGGTGGAGCCAATTGTGCCCCACACTTTTATACAGTTGGGCTTTTTCGCTTAATATTTTTAATACGCGAAGCTGTGGATAAACGCATGCTTTTCGACGCTGTATAATGGCGACTGAGGACCTACGATGCTGCATCCGAAGAACTGTTTCCTTCCTATCTTTCCCGCCCGAAAAACGGGGGACCACTAACAGGTCATATGGTGAGAAGCACATTTTTGCTTCATCATCACATTTGTGCTCTTGGCAGCGCTTGTTTTAGGGCTCCACTACTTTTAGGGGGGGAGGGGGGAGTGATACTTGATTGATTTGTGTGATATTTGGGGTTTAACGTCCCAAAACCACCATATGATTATGAGAGACACCGTTGTGGAGGGCTCCGGAAATTTCGACCACCTAGGGTTCTTTAACGTGCACCCAAATCTGAGCAAACGGGCCTACAACTTTTTCGCCTCCATCGCAAATGCAGCCGCCGCAGCCGGGATGGGGAGTGATACCTGGTCCATCTAATGAGGAACCGCGTTCACGCTTGCGGTAATCAACAATTTTCACCCGAGCATTTGCGCCGCGGTGGTGTACGGGTTACAAGGCTCCGCTCCTGACCCGAAGGTTGCGGGTTCGATCCCGGCCTGGCATTTCAATGGAGGCGAAATGGCCCGTGCACTATGCGATGTCAGTGAATGTTAAAGAACACCAGGTGGTCGAAATTTCCGGAGCCCTCCACTAGGGCTTGCTTCAGGATCATATCGTGTTTTTTGGCCCGTAAAAATCCAGATATCACAATTGTTATACACAACCACGTGCGAAGCGCGTGTCACTTTTGATATAGCATCGCATTAATACGTCACTGCACGTCGAGTCACTCACCACGTGACTATACAAGCTACTGCACCTGCTTCGCGCATACATGCAAATCACATATCTGAACCGAGGGGGGGGGGGGGGAGACTTCCTCTTTCTCCACCGAAATTTGGATGGAGGGGGGTGTTCTACAGAGGAAAAATAATAAATACAAGTGCTTTTTAAGGCCTTCAACAAATGGGCCCCTAGAGGAAAAAAAAAAAAGATTCCTGGCTGCGGGCCTGTCTGAATGAAGAACAGCTCGTCGTACTGGGCATTCGCGGATGTTGCGCACAGACTAGAAAGAGGCTCTCGATGAGCCCTTTCCTCTGGAATATTTATCTGCGCTATTTTTACTCGGCCTGCAACGCCCGATAACGTTCCCTTTTCACAGCCTGCAAGAAGCAGTTGCACATACCCGCGCAGGATTTTTGAAAACTCACGTTTTTTTTTTTTTAAGTGCTCCGCGCGGATAGCGCTTGGGCTGTGGATAAGCCATGCGCTGACCACTGTAACATCAGCGTTATGACGTCTTCCTTTCTTTCTTGCGTTCGGAGTGCAAACAAGAGAGGGCGCGGGAGTAAATCCTCGGAAGCAGATAATGAATCACTGGCCACTTGCCAGGGGCGCACTGAATTGCCGCACGCCTCAGCTCCTCGTGGCACGTTTTCTTGTCTAAAAAAAAAAAAGGCGTGCTCATTACGCAGTCACTGCGACTCTTTTATGACGTAGACAGTCTCGCCTTCCAATGAGCGTCGCTACGTCGAACATGGGTAGTGTTCACGTAATGTCACGGACGCCGCTTCTTGTAGCATATGGGGTCTTACGTTTCAAAACCACGACCATGATCGTGGGAGACGGCGTATAGTGGAGGTTTCCTAAAATTTCGACCATTCCTTGTTTTTTAGTGCCCCGCCGCGGTGGTCTAGTGGCTAAGGTACTCGGCTGCTGACCCGCAGGGCGCGGGTTCGAATCCCGGCTGCGGCGGCTGCATTTCCGATGGAGGCGGAAATGTTGTAGGCCCGTGTGCTCAGATTTGGGTGCACGTTAAAGAACCCCAGGTGGTCTAAATTTCCGGAGCCCTCCACTACGGCGTCTCTCAATCATATAGTGGTTTTGGGACGTTAAACCCCACGTATCAATCAATTGTTCTTTAGCATGTATACTGACATCGTAAAGTACACAGACCTCTAACATTTCGCCTTCATCGAAATGTGACCGCCGCGGCCGGGATTCGAACCGCGACCTTCGGGTACGGATGAAGCTCCTCTCTCAGTGCTATTAAGCGAACACTGCTACCACGATGCCGTCATTGTATCCCATTGTAACACTTTACACAGCTCTTTTCCTTATTTTCTAATGACCACATTCATCATGTTATGTCCGTCATTCATTAATTCTTTCGCTACAACTTGCCGGCCACACTTAAAGAGTCCAAGCCAGCCGTGTAAAGACGAAATGAAAATGAGTAGCACGCAACGCAAACAATGCATGCAGCAACTTGTTTTTTTTTTTAACTTTGTTTAGGAGATGTTGGTGCTTTATATGGTGCCACCTACTTGTTTTCGTATTGAACGCAGAATAGTGATGGCGATGGTGATAGGAAAACACAATATTACGCCTAATGTTATCCCTTATAAGTATTTCAGCGAAAGCACGAACAATCACGTAACAATAAAGTGGAAACCGAGTCCTCATAACTGGGCAAGAATATTTGTACCAATCACATGCAGTGCAGTGCACTTCTCAGAAATTAAAACGCTGCAGTCGGCCTGCAAGCCTATACTGTTGCTTTTGTGAGCCATCGCCAGTGATAACTGTGTTTTGCAGTAACCGTGTTTCGCGCTCGAATCAAATGCAGTCACAATGCGAGAGTTAGAGGAGTTCTTTTAACTATCAAAATGAGTTATATCGGTGTCCTCAACGGTGGAGCAAGATATTGCCATAGTACCAACTAACCAGCCAACCAACGTTTTTAGATACTGTGATTATCTAAAAACGTTGGTACCAACAAACGAATTGAAACGCAAAAATTGAGCACTAAGTAGGCAGGAGAGTGCAGAACGGGCACTAGCCTTCCCTCCCCCCAAGCCACACCACAACTTGCTTCACACCTAAGCAAAGCTGCTCTCCTACCCCGTTCCCACTGCAAATGCAACTCGAGTTTGTACGTTATGGACCCCCTCTCTCCGAGAAAAAAATCTTGCCGACGCTCATGGCCAGTTAATGCCCGTCATTTCGTTGCAGCTTCTAGTTAGCGTCATACCGACTTACTTTGCACTCGAACACTTACGTACTACGAACTACCACAACCTCAAGCGGTAATATTTGTGTCGACATGACGCGGCCATCACGAGCCCCTGATTAGAACAGTCGTTAGAAGTGATTGTTATACTAATGATCGAAATCAACGTCGTGGTTCAATCCACGAGTACTGTTAGTACTACTTTCGTTTTCAGCGTTATGTCAGTTTAACACTTACAATTAATGCATAGCCTCTTATACACATTGAAAGTAAGGCTGTGATTAGAACCAGCGCATTACCTGTAGAGACCTGATTTGTAGCGAAAAGACGCGATCATTAGACGAAGTTTCAATGTCGGGTTTTGATCCGTGAACATTGTTGTCTGTCTCTTTCCTGCTACAAAGGTTATGCCAGAATGTCTTTTTGGTATTTTTGAAGAAATTGCACGGTGTTACACCGAAGAAACTGCGCCGAGTTAGCATTATCACAATGTTTAGTATAACTATATATTGACGGACACTGGTTTAACTCGATCACCTCACGGAAATGTCTAACTTTTAGCGAGGTCGATTCATGGGGAATTCCGAGGAAATGCCAGTTCACAGGGGCTGTGGTGGTCTCTATACGCCATCAGCAGTGCACTGACGGGAACACCAAATATTATCACGGCAGTTGAAACGTAGATCAGCTCAAAACACGAGGCACAGCATGCTTTCTCAGCAGCGAACCCAGTAAAATTGACGTCGACGTCACATGAGAGATAGTCACGTTACCTGAGAAGCGACGTAACGTGTTATGTCATACCACCGCCAAACTTTGAAACTGAAGATTGTGCCTGACGTTGCATAAGTATCGCTATTTTGCCAGTGTCAGTGGTTTGTCTGCATCACTGGAGGTCCTGCCATGGGGAGCCAGTAACCTACTAAAGATTGCTTAACAGCACAAACAACCAGGAGGGAATAGAAGAGGCTAAGCAGAGCGCTGAACGACAACTTGAAGCTGGAGCGAAAAAGTCTGGAAAGAGCCCGTTGTATTAGAAATGAAACTTGAGAGACACTAGGATTGGGCGTGTTGGTTTAACATGATAAAGATGGCTTAACAGCGCAAAACTTGCACTCGGGACACAGCATCTGTACGGTATATAGACTAAAAAACAACAACAACATGGGTTTAATTTGCAGCGAGATTCGAAGTTTTCATGAGAGCACGCGATCCAATATAATTCGTTGCTGGCATCGCGTGCTCTACATCCGAAGAAAATGACACGTGACCGAGTTGTTTTAAGTCACGTGTTTGAGATGAACGAAACAAGGTGGCACTGGTAGAGCGCATGCGCGACTGGTATAAAAGCTAGCCGGATTGCATTACCGCGGTTTAGTTGGTTTAGTACGGCGCTCATCACTGGTGGAACCGCCGATTCGATACAACACATTTGCATTGGAACGCACAGATGCTCCGTGGCGTGTGTGGTAAGTAACTTCAACATTGCTTTGTTTCTGGGCGTCAGGGCTGCACCGAGATTATTTTTTTTTTTTGGGGGGGGGGGGGGGGAGGGGGCATTGATGGTCATTGAGTTCTTTCAGCGGGACAGGGAGACGCAGGACTTATGCGTTTTTGAATATGCTTTCTCTTAGGGGAGAGGGGGCAGGCGATAATTTTGACGGGCGTCATGTATCTTCTGCTCTGTCCCGACCTCGATTCTCTGTAGTACATCGGTCGCACATAACACGTTCGACCACCATCGAAACTGAATGCGGTAGTTGCCATCATTCTGCGAGACTAGTCTTTTTTTTCCTGGTTTCGTCGGGCGCGTCAATGTGGGTCAGTGGTGTCGACAATGTAGTCCTCATGAAAAAGCGTAAAATATAGGTGCTTCCTGATGCACTCCACTCTGAGACCTGGCTTCGACGTGTGAGCGTCCGTCGCGTAGACGAACGCTTGCTTATCTTGTTTACACGAGACCGGGAAGCTCGAGAACGGCTTCTTTGGACCGTCGCTTCAAAACCACCTAAGATTGACGGCTATACTGGGGGCTTTCAGTGCATGCAGTATGTTCTCATCTCCTTTTTTCTTTTAATTTATGTAGCTAGTGCAGTAGCAGCTAGAAACTGTCTTTGCGGTATGCGCCCGCTATACACATTACTGTGAGACTGCGATGTTGTCAGTCTACGCCATCGTCAGTTTCACCTTCAGTTTCAAAGAGAAAAAAATAAAGTTCCCAGAGGAAACTCCAGCGCCAGTGTATCATGTATGACGAGAATCGCAGGCATGGTGGTTCAACAAAAGTGTGGGAGTATAAGTGTATTTACAAGGATTTGAGGGGCGTAGACAATTTTTTTTTCGGGGCGGGGGATTCCGACATTTATGTCCAAAAATATAGGCGTGGGGGGTATGTAAAGGAGGGAAGAAAACAAGTAAAAAGACGTGTCGATGAGATACAAGAGCATAAAAGTTGCAATTCATATAATAAAGTGTCAGCGAAATCACGTTTTATGAGATGTAGCGTGTACGGCAATGTAAACACTTGTAATGTCGTTAGAGTTGCTGGGATTTATACAGGGTAATTTTGCTCGCATGCCACCTGTGAGACGAGAAACCGCGATGCTGAATCGTATTAATTTAACCAAATGAGCGCTCCGGAAACATCAGCTGAGCCGCAGCTTCATTTCAGGCTTTGACAGTCCACTTTGTCCAAAATGACGTCCAGAATGGATTCTTTCTCGTAAAATTCGTATACGTTGAATTGAAGAGATCGCTCACCAGTAGAAGCATGGCCACATCGATTACTAGGGAGAGAAGGAAACCAGTTGGGTTGAAAGGTAGTGAATGGATATATTCACGTCGCAGCTTGATATTGGCACGCCAACAAACGTGGTTGTTCGTCGAATCAGCAGAATAAGAAAACCAATACATACGCTGTTAAGGTCAAAACAAAATGCAGAGGGGAAATTCTTATTTCGACGCTTCACGAAAATGCGAAAAGGAAATCGTGCTCTCCTTAGCCGATAGGCTCTAGACGCAATGACGTTTCAGGGAACGTGCTTTTTATAGTTCTGTTTTTGTTTAGCGGCCGCTGCGGTGAAGACAGTTGATTAGAGACAGCTTTGACACATGCCAAGAACGGGGTCACTTCCGAGACAGGCGCGGCGAAAGTTGATGCACGGAACTGCGACATAAATAAAACGGAAACATTCTCGTTCTGGGACGGAGTTTGCGTCAGCACAGCGTTTTTATTCGTTGGAATTCGTTAATCTAGATTGTGCGCGCACGAGAGGGAAGCGAAAAACTGCCTGTTAGCAACGCACGTGGTTTTGAAGAGCCGGCTTGTTTCAGCGTTTTCGCGCGCTTCCGTGCTACAGAAACGAAACCGCAACTGGCAACAAGCGTCCACAGTCATGAGTTCAGTTCTACCACAGAACACTTATATACATCGTTAGTACTCTGCTTGAAAACACGTGATATAATAATAAAATTGATGCGTGTATTTGTAGAAGATTACGCTTAATATGTGAAAAACACCAGTCAGTCTTCTCTAAAATTGACACGAAGGTTCTTTTTGCCGCCGCTACGTGTCGCTAAGCTCATGTGGGAAATTTTCCCCCCCACCTCGCGTCTTCGCTGGAGTTCGTGTGTTGCAGCCAACGTCTGCTCGATAACAGGATTACGTGAGTACGGTGTAAAGCAGATGCACGTTAAAATAAGGTGAGTCTTTTGCTTTCAGTGAGCTCGCTTGAAGTAACGGCGTGGCCTTTCTCTTGTCCGGTTCCCGCCTGACAAAACCTGAATGAGTGGCTGCTTCCGACAGTTGCTTCTCTTCTGCGAGCTTAACGCCGCCTCTTCCGATGTGCTTGGCTAAATGATTACAGGCTTTGCCTGATTTCTTTGCGAATGACTCATAGGTGCACTTTAAACGCGAGATTAGTGCGCGGCGAACACTCGATCTCTTGGTGCTGTTCAAATCGGCTAGGACAGCCGAAGAATACCACAGCTTCCCGACAGTTTTGGACGCTTGTGAACGCTTTCGATTAACCGGATTACCGAGAAAAATCGTAGTGCGTCGCCGGGCAGCAGTCCGCTGTAACGGCCGCCGTCGAATTATTAGTCTCTCGACCGTTTGCCGACTTCATACTTTCTTACTCCGCTTTCCGGATGCCTTTGTGTAACGCAACGTTGACCTCGATTTCGAAATCATAGTTTCTTTCGCGTTTTTACGCTCAACACCTCTGCTAATTGGACCGCTCATGAAGGAGGCTAATAAAGTATTGAATGGGCACCGCATATTTTTGACAGCTGCTCACTTGTGAGCTTGGCATCTATCCTTCTCGCGCGGACGATTCGAAACCGAAGTCCCGACATTACTGCCGTCACTGGGATTGTTATCACGTGGAATCTTGAGTCGACTCTGGCTCGGTAAACTCTCGAACATTGACTTTTCCTAGAGTCGTGCGGATATGTGCAAGCAGCGGAGGCGGGTTGTTTTTGTAAACAGGGGCGCAATCCTTCACGCTGTAGCGGTCGAAGAACATGCGTAATTCATGCCGCTTGAGACTCGTCTTGGCACCCCTTTGGCGTGTTTACGAACACATATGGTGTGATGCGTAGACTACGAGCGCGTTTGCCGCCATCCGCTTGTTCAGCTATCGCTTCTCGCGCAAAGCGCGAGGTGTCTAGTAAATTGTAGCACCTGTGCCTGATGTGTCGATGATTCAATGTAAGGCATTCCTTGTGTAACTCGGCTGAATCAACTTTTTTCTTTTGTTTCAGTTGCAGATGACATAACTAAAGGGTAAGCTATGTTTCGATCCTTATCTTTATTCTCTCGCTATCTAGTACTTCAGTATACAGTCTCTCACAAGCACGGTTGTCGCATACTGCTTTTTTGCTAGCATTTGAAAATTATTGTACATGTACAAGCCTTTCTAATCTTAACTGACATTGTTTGATGCTAGTGTAGCAACAGCAGAAATGCCATGCCACTCACACAGCCTGTGCAGTTGCTTTCATGTTTTTCCGGTTCAGTGGGCACTGTTTATCATGGGGCACATTCGATATAGTGTACTACTACAGTCATCCATCTTCATATTCTCTCAAATGTTAGGCATGTGTAGAACGAACATGCATGCTAATGCACACAGTCTTGAATTATACCTCTGTGAGGTAAACAGTGCCTAGCAAAGTGGTACCATAACTAGAGATTGTGTAATAACACCGCCAGTTGGTAGTGACCCTGTTTTTTTTCTTTAACCAGCTGCACTGCATGGGGTGCCCGATATAAGCACTATTTATGATAGGAGTGTTACGATAGGTTTGGCTGCGTTTGTGTACGCTGAATTTCTCTTTTCTGTGGCATTTAACTTTCATTAAAAGTGAAAAGGATTCCAATCTATGACTTTCGGTAAAGCTCATACCATTCATTCTGCCATGCAGTGCCTGCTGTTTGGTTTTTCTTGTTAATAATTTGCACATTATTCTGGCAGTAGCTTATTAGAATCAAGCCTGTAGTTACAACTGTAAGGAGTGCATGAAAACTGTTGAAACTATGCACATGACATTGATATTGGTGTGGTATCATGCATACAACACCGGTAACTCTGTTATACCTTGCATTGGGTTCCAAGGGGCACAATACATGTGTTATCGTATCCAACTCGCACATTGCTCGCCTTTCATTTGCACAGTATGTCTGCAAAGGCCTGTGGCCTTTCCAGCTTTACAAGTGGTGCGATGGATGGGGGAGGCACCAAGGGCGATGGTGACGGCCGCACTGAGAGAATAGAAAGGTACGCTGTTAGGTTGTCACTTTCACTTGCGTGCTTGTAATTGTTTCACCCAAATCATTTTTCGCATTTGCACTTTCATCGCTTTTCTACCTCTTCTTGTTTAATCAAGCAAATCTTTCTTTTTTTAAATATTTGGCATAGCATTTAGTTCTGGATTCCTACAGTAATCAGCATAGTATTACCTCTGGAAATTTTGAAAGCTTCAGAAGCTTTTGTGGGCGTGGTTGAGGATGTTAAGTAGCATACCAATGTTTAACAGTGTTGGTATTGTCTGTAGTATAGTTCTAAAGGTGAAAGCTGTGGATGCACTAAGAATCAAATGATTGCCAGAAAAACCAGTGTTGGTGGTACATTTTGCAATATGGAAGAATTACTGTATGCCAGTGTATTAATAACAGTTAGAGATTTAATTCCTCAATGTTTAGGAAAAGCCTCTGGGTCCTTATAGTGATACTAATTCAACTTCATTGGCAAGCATGCAGCAGTGCAAACACAGATTGCAATGCAAGAGTTGTATCTTTGGCTGCAGTCAGCCTTCAGTATGTGTATCAGATATCGAAATAATTGTTCTGTATAGTCTGGACTTCCAACACAACAAACCAGGCATTCTCAAATAGTGAATTATAGTCGACCACTATCCCTCAAGAGGAAGGTATATAGCAGCTGCATCTTACCGGTACTTACATATGCAGAAGAAACCTTGGGTCTTACAAAGAGGATTCAACTTAAGTTGAGAATGATGCAGAGAGTGATGAAAAGGAAAGTGATAGATGTAACCTTAAAAGATAACAGATTGGGTCAGGGAACAAACGAGGGTTAAGGATATCATAGTTGAAATCAATAAGAAATTGACATGGGCCCAGCATGTTGCATGTACGCAGGATAACTTCCAGCAATTAAAGGTAACTGATCGAATTCTTAGAGAAGGCAAATGCACAAGAGGGAGAGAGAAAATCAGGTGGGTAGATGAGGTTAAGATGTTTGCAGGTGTAGTGTGGCAGCAGAGAGCACAGGACCGAGTTGATTGGCAGAACACGTAGAGGCCCCTGCCCTGCAGAGGGCGTAGTTATGCTAGTGAATATTAAACTTGCTGCATCTGAAATGGCAAATAACGCTCGCAGGGCCTACCAAGATTAAAGTGTAGTTGTTTGAAATTTGTCTTTTCCGAGACTTCTCCACTGGACCCTCTTTAGACACCATTCTATCAAACCCTTAATTTTCTCAGGCTAAAGTTTCTAGTTTACATGTAACAGAGATACTTGTGAATGTCAGATATAGCCTAGATATTTTACTGTTAGATAGACTTCCTTTTCATTTTGTAATTGGCATGAGCGATTAACTGTTGAGTGTTCAGATTCGCAGTATGGTGACACAGTTGCACCCGTGATTGAAAAATGACAGTTTTTGACGTCTCGTGGATATAAGTGAGTCGAGCCAAGTAAGCTTCAGTACGCATCTATATGCCTCGTGAAGCAGTTTGGTTTGTCAGCAGTTGGAGACATTTTACAATCTCACTGTGTTAATCCATCTATGATAACTGGAAGGGTAAAGCTTTGAAAGAAGACGTTGCTTTGGAGAGCAAGTAGTATTGTCACTTCGAAGCCTTTTGCGTGCTGGTGTAGACTGAAGAGGCACACAATCAGTTGTCATTCCAACACTGTAATTATTACTTAGACTTGCACTCGAGCAATTTCACTACACAACTTTTATGTTGCCTAGCTACTTGGTTGCATTTCCACCTATAGAAGTTTTGTGAAACTCCTTTCCTAGTTTCATGTCTGACGAGACAGATTTTTTCGTGTACACTTCGATTCGTCTGTCATCATCACATCAGCCAAGGTGACAGCTACAAAGTATCGTTATCAACCCCCGTGCCAAGAAACAATTTTCCTCTTGGTTAGTATCTGTTTATAATGTGGCATTGTGGCCAAGGTATTTTTTTAGGGGCGAAGCTCCTTATGGCGTGGCTTGGGCGTCCCTCGTACGTAACTACCAGTGGCACATACCCGAAATAGGTATAACACTTGACCTCCAAGGTGGTGCCAGTGAGAGATTTCTTCTGTGCGTTGTTTAACAATAAAAAATAGTGCTCAATGTACATGCCAATGGCTGCTAATGGGGAATGAGAGATATGAGCATTCGGCTTTTAGTCAACGCGCAGGCTGCGATTCCCATTAGCAGCCATTGGCAGGTACATTGAGCACTATCGGACAAGAAAGGGATGCTACATTATACTCGCTGGGTGTAACCTCCTTAGCTTCAGAAAGGTTTAGCGAGCGTTGAGCCGCAGTGCCATGAATACAATGAACTTGTATATACCATGAATGAACTCAAGGTGGTTAAAAATGAGAAGTAGATACGAAGCGCAAGCCGTAAGAAAGTAAAAGCCGAATTCTCCTGTCTCTCATTTCTCATTAGCAGCCATTGGCATGTAAATTGAGCCCTATCTGACAGGGAAAGGTTGCTACGTTATACTCGCTGGGCGTAACCTCCTTGGTTTTCGAAAGGTTTAGCGAGCGTTTGGTCGCAGTGCCATGAATACAGTAAACTAGAATATACCATGAACTCGAGGTGGTTAAAGGTGGGAAGTGGACCCAAAGCGCAGGCGGTAAGAAAGTGTGCGTGTGCCACCTCTCATTTAGTCCTTGGAATGTCCGCTGGATGGCGGTGCTTCTATATGGGGAATATATGATAAAAAGATGCGACATGGTGGGACTTGGAGTGTTGAATAGATGAACGAACGAACACACAAACAGATGCATGGATGGATGCATGAACGGACGCAGAGGCGGATGCATGAAAGAACGCAGGGACGGGCGCACAAACAGACGCATGGACGGTCACACGGACGGACGCATGGACGGACGAATGCTTCGCCCCACTCTCCATCATTCACTTCGTGGATATGCTGCCATTTTTTTAAAGTTACATGGCACTTTGTATGACTGAACCAAATGAATCCATTAGATAAGTAAACTAGTAAAAGCAGGGGCATTGATTGTTGTCTTCAATAGTAGTTCGGTAATTGACTCACCTGGAATGAATTGAAAGTGCACAAAATCTCAGTTTGTATCAGTGGGACCTGAACCCACAGTGTTCGTATTACACAACCTAAATGTCTGTTCGATTCATTTGGTTGTGTATAATAAAAAAAAACTAACCTCTAGAATAAAAATTTGTTTATTGCTCTATGTATGTTTCTTTAGTGGAAAAGTTCAGCTTATTGGTCATGTGGTGGATTATACCCCTAAATTGGTTATGCTAGCTTGAGCACTTAATGAGCAATCTGATTTGGCAATGTTCTAAACTGTTTTCACACAGGTATAAGAAGCAGCGACGGGAAGAACTCTCGAGGCATTACATGACAAAATCAGCAGGTGCATCTGAAGAGAACAGCACAACAGCTGCAAAGGCTAAAGGTGTGTTGAAGGTGGCCGAACCAGAGCTCCATGGTGACAAGAATGCTGCCCCAGAACGAAAGAGCGCCCCACCAAGTGTTCGAATGACCAGGGCATCTCGGTAAGCTATCTGCGCAATTCATCATGTACAGTACACTCTCAATAAATGGAACCTGAAGGGACCAGTAAAATATGTTCCATTTAACAGAAGTTGTGTTTAATCATCGATGAACAAGGGTGCAGAATACAGGCACGAAACCAATCTTGCCTAAAGCACTTATTCTATTTAAGCAACAGTTCGGTTTAACAATTTCCATTTACTGAGAGTATACTGTATATGCCATATCCTCAATATTCAATGATATTTGAAGTCTTCATCGAAAATAATATTTATCAAGGATATGTGATATTTGGCATTGATTGGCACACATTGCATCGCATACAGTGCTACAAAAATTTTGGTAAAGGATGTTTTGTGTGCAGTTACATGGAACTGTGGTTTGCAATTGCTTCCTTCGCAGGTTCTATGCAAAGAAATTAGAAACGTGCCTTGCAGCCTCTGCTGCTGTGAATAGAGGAAAAATGGAAGGGATACAGCACATTAGAGTAGTTTTACAATTCAAGTTTCATTTAATAAATGTTGTACCTTGAATTAATGCTATTCATGAAGTGTAGGGATGACAATCGGATAAAAGCAGAAGCTACGACTGCCAAGTTGTTTTTCTCTCATCTTGCATACAGTACTCTCATCAATTGGAATGCAAAGACATAAAAAAAATGCTGGATGTAACAGGATTTTCATTTACTGAGAGATGACCAGGGGTGCACAATACAAAAATGGAACCAATCTTGTCGGAAACGTTTGCTCTATCTAGGCAGCATTTCAGTTTAACAGATTTCTATTTACCGATAATCTGCTGCATACTGTATACATGTGTAGTACAGGTTAGAAATTTTGGAAACTTGTCAACCAGTTTTCCTTATTCTTTTTCCTGTTTTCTGAAATGAACGTGCTACAATGCATGTCACATTTATGTAAATGAGTGCCACAGACAATAGCATGCAAATATGAAAAAAAAAACAGGAAATGGCCTGGGAGAAAAGCACTGACACTTAATGGGGGACATGGCAGTGTGAATGGTAAGTTTGGTCGAATTATTCAATTTTTCATTTTATTTATTTTTTCTGCAATCCTGAGACCATGTCTTACGCCACGGCAGAATATTAAACCAAAATAAGTAGAAGTCCAGAATAAAGCATTTTACTACTGTGCTGTCATAAAAACTATGACAAAATTGAGCTTCAGAAATTGCAAATCTGCAGGTTTCCTTTAGCATAGTCACAATATTGGCATCATTATAAAAAGGACAGATCGGAGCTGAAGGTGGCCTCAATTCTGCATGTGTCCCATGAAAAATAAAGCCACCTTGCTTCCTGGTTCCATTTTCTTAGCATCTAACTTCATTTTCCAGCTTTCATTCTTTGAGCTGTTGCTGTCAGTCATTCCTGTGTCATTTCACGACAAATGAAGATATAGCCATTTCGTTTTCTTCGCTTAGATCCCAAGAGATTGGTAAGGGCTGTAAAGCTGTCCATATTTGAGTGCACATCAGACAGATATTTATAATTAGCTTTTTGTTAGAGTTGTCAGCAAGACAATATGCACAGGACTTCTGAAAAAAATCTTTGATGCTTATCTCAATACTAAAAAATAAGCCAATAGGATTACGGCACAGAATAGGCCCTTCTATATATCGTTATGCATAAATATTGGCAAACCTAGGCTTCATTTCAGCTTGAGGCACTTTTTTGTTAAATCCATTGCTATTTGCGAGCGAGAAGCTCGGGTGCAGATTTTCTCTCTTAACTAATGCTACCGATGCACACCGATGCTGACTCGGAAATTTCTGCAGCACACATCAATATACATATTGTAATGACGGGTGCATGCCACAGTTAAATTTTGTTAATTTTATCACCTGTAAACTTTTTTTCTTCTGCAGTCTTCGAGCGCTCTCCCATGCTGCCAATACACAGGGTGCCTCAGGTAAGATGTGTTTCTAGTTTTTTTTTATTTGATGGTCTGCAGTGTCACATGACCAATGGATCGGTTTTTCATGATAATGACAGATTGTTGGCAACTATGACAGCTTTGAGGATGTTTTATCACCGACCGCATTAGAGAGATAGTAACTACACCTTTGTCCTGTGGGAAAAGGATTCTTGTAGCTATGCGATGATGGAGTATGAGGCTGTCTATCAGAGAACGATATAAAAGAAGGAAGTTAAATAAATTTTCAACACTGCATTAGTGTTAAACATTAGTTAAGTTTATTCTGCTGTAGCTATAACGGTAGGTTGCCTTACATGGGCGAAAAGTTTGTCCGCCATTCTAGAAAATTTTTTCATTTCTTAAGAATTCGAAATAAACTCTCTCAAAAAAAAAAAAAAAAAAACATCGCTCACTTGTTGTTCTCAGCATTTCATCAAGGCTCTTGCTTGTTCAGAATTGTTCAGAATTGATCATTCTCACAGTCCACAATAACATTGCAGCCGAACAACTGTCAAAGCCAGAACTGCCACACCGTGGGGAGCGCCAAAGTTTGAGGCCCCTGGACCTGAATGACAACATACCTGCAAGGGTGAGGGAAGGAGAGCTTGTGTTCTATTGTGTAGAAAAAAAATGTTGTGCTCATTTACTGGGTTGCTGCTGTTAAGTCTTGTTGTTTTGGCATTCCTGTAGCAAATTACTGTTGCTTTGCGAAAGTTTCATCTGACTCGGCGTTTTAAGCAATGCCTTCACTCACAGATGCACATTGTGCAATTACTGCTGTTCTTTTGTTTTGTCACATTCTCTTAGTGTCAGCCACATGCACCACGGTACACGCTACCATGATGTCTTTAGAATTAAAGCAGCATGAAATCGCATGCAGAAGTGAATATTGCCTGTACAGTCATTAGCAGCAGCTTGTAGGAATTTGTCGAGCCTTTCCTGTATCTGTGACGTATCTGTGACTTGCTTCCTTCTATCTATTTAGTTTTGGTCGTATTCCTGCACGTAATCTTAGAGCAGTGCTTTGGCATGCAGGCTCAAGTTTTTTGTGGTAGCAGCAAGGCAGAGAACAAAGTTGTGGCTGTGTCCGCTAAAACAATTGCCGAAAAGAGTCCCGTCAGGCGAAAACCACCAGCAACAGCTGCGAGGCCCTCCCCTCCACGAGCCTCAATGGGTGAGTACCTTTAAAAAGTAGGCCCTTGACTGCTGCCTACTTGTCTGGTTGTGCTCTCTCTTGACAAGTGTAGTTGCGAAAATCGCATGAGGTTGGTTCCACCACTTTTTCACCACTGCATTCGTGTGCAAAAAAGATCCTGACTGTGAACCCACTTCCATGCTTAAGTCCTTCGTAAAACAGTTACATTCAAAAATCAAATGTAATTGCCCTGAGGCAATTTGAAGTAAATTATAGTCCACTAGATTTTGTTAATGAGATGTTATTGAATTCTACTGCAGCAATGTCGGTTCTAGTGTATGGTATCTGTAAAAGCACAAGATAATCATCAATCTTAGCATTGTTATTGCTGCTTTTGGCCTATATTCACTTTTCATTGGAAAAGAAAAAAAAATGTTGCTAAAAAACTAGGGCCGCAGAAGGCTGATACAGACGCCGTTTTTCGAACCTTAAGATTCGTTAACACCTTTAATAGTGGTACCTATGCAAGTAAATTTTCAAGACCACTAAAAATTGATTCCTGCGCATCTTATAATTGTCCTAGAAGCCCATTTCACCAAAGCCTTGGTGGATATGTGAACTTGGTCGTCCAAATCATTGTTTAGTACGGAATAAAATAATCCTGCACGTCAAAAGCAAAAGTAGCGCTTGTGTATGCACACTTGTCTTGAGGTGAGCAGTCATCTGCAGCAATGCCTTGTCAAGGTGGACGTATGGGACCCTGTCTCTCTCGTTGCACAGTTCGACAGATGTACAAGATTTAGTTCGGCGCAAGTTCATGGCATCTGCCAAGACTGCTGCTTCTGAAGGACTCGGTGTGGAATTATTCTTTAGAGCTTTAATTCAGGTTTAATGAACTCATGTGAGCATAATCTTTGTAGCCGTTGTAGTAAATACATTAGGTGGCTGAAAAACACTGTATTCTTTCCCTCAGTCATTTCAGGCGTGGAAAATGGTGCCCATGTCTGTCAGTTCGTGCCTTCACTTAGTCCCAGTCTTTTTGGTGCCATAACTATTTTTTTACAGCCAAAGCTGTTACGAGATCATAACACGAGTCACGCGCGGCGCCGTAGTTGTCCGCTACCACCGCTGGTCTCTGTAACCAGTATCGAAAGAAAAAACACCAAGGACACAATGGGGCTTAAACTTAGGTCCGCTGTGTGCCAGCCCAGTATCTTACCACTGAGCCACACCATTGCTTGGTACTTGTTTGCAAACTTGCCTTAGGCAGGCTTGATATTGAGAAAGGATTTGCGGTAATATGAGTAATAAAATGTTTTAGAACAGCAAAGGAACAACCAGGTGTCGCACAATGCACGCATAGCGTAACGGGTGGGTCTTCTAATGCTCCAACCCATGGCAAAAGCTTGTTCTTGTTCCCCTATTAACTGTGGCGCATACCCACTTCAGGCATAATTTCTTGTCGTCGTCAGCCACTGCATGAACAATGGGCAGAAAATTCCTTGCAAGTGTTGAGCGGATACCCTGCTTCTCAGAATGTCGAAGGATAACATAGTGAATGTCGGCCTACTACCAAGAAATTTTTTTATTATTAATGCCATAGTGGGTACCCAGCAAGTGTGCTTGCAGCAGTTACCCAATGAGTGCTTAGAAAAGGCTCTGAAAGGCCGCTCTTCTAGCTTTCACTGTGACTGTGCTGTGCCTTCCACGCAGGCCTGGCGTCTTTTTCTTGAGGCTGCTCTACTTTGATATGCAATAACTGGCTTGCTATATGTGGCTGCTGGAAACTTGTGTGTTGCTCTTATACTGGCGAGGGCATTCTACAGCTGAAGATGAGTTCATGGGTTATTCTTAGCTGTGGAGGCCAGATTATTCGTGGTGTGCTAGGTAAAGCATGCTGTTCCTACCCGTTAATTTTTCTTTCGCTTTCACAAGCCTGGGAATCAACATTGCAAAGTTGCCACGCAATAATTGCCCAAGTATTGCTCTTCATGTGTTGATTAAAACTGGACGGTGATCGGAACTAAAGTTGAAGTGCTTCTTGACACCGGAAAGTTGACACCAAGCATAAAACCCCGCAATTTACTCTTGATTGGCAAAGTGTCATGTGAAAATGCATGTGGAAAGGTATTCATGTGTGCTTGCACATCGAAAAGCTGCTCCGTTTAAGAGGCATTGGTCTGTCTCTGAGGGACTCGCAGCTGCCTTGAACATGTCGCAAGAAAGTAACATAATTACCCAATTCCAATGCGCACCTTTTTTTCGGGAAAAAATAGGCCTTAAAATCGCGTGCACGTTGGATTTGGGTAAAAAGTGAAACTGCCCCATAGCTGCCAATCTTCATGGCTATGATGTGATACGACCGTTTATTTGTTGCTGACAAATAGCAGCACATTGCTTGCCGCGTCTCTCTGGAGGCACTTGCAACAGGTCCCGTGTCAGACGGTCTGAAAACTGGCTAACCTCCCTGTCCTTCAGTTCCTCTTCTCCTTCTCCTCCCGTGTTGTCATTGTGTGTTCTGCGATCTTCTGCCACCTTGTTCAAGAATGGCTGCAGCAGCCACGAAGACGCATCGTTGCTGCCACGAAAATAGGGTTAAGCGTTAATCGAAACGGGAAGTTATTTTCATACAGAAGAGAGTGGCAACAGTGCACAGGCTGTAATTTCGGTGTGCCGTAGACTTGCGTTCAGGACTGGCAAAAGCTGTAGAAATAGATTTTCGAGTAGACATCTTCAAGCAAAGGCCGCCTTGGTCCGCATGTAGGGTGATCTCTTGATGTTGAAAATGAGCTGGTGAATGTACAAAATATTTGCACATTTCGTTCATTCATGAAAATTGCATGCGTATTAGGAGAAGGTTGCACAGTTCATCACTGTTTCTTTGGTGAAGAACGAGTCCACGTTAGAATCGGGGATTGCAGTATGCTTCTTTTTGGGTCATGTGAATCATGTGCGCGTAGGAATTGGGTAAATACGGTGTGTAAATGAAAAACATGAATTGACCACACTCTTGTATTAATGAAATGCACACTATATGGTTAACGATAGTTATAGCGCGGAAACAAAACGACGACACAGAGACAAGGACACGAAAGACTCTTGTCTTTCGTGTCCTTCTTGTCTCTGTGTAGTCGTTTTGTTCTCGCGCTATAACTATCGTCATGCCATACCAACTAGCCCAAGCTGCCACACTTCTATGGTTGAGTTGCAATTGTTCTAAATTGCGACATATAGCTTATTAAAAGATTATCCCTTCCTATGTTGAAAAGCCTCAGTATTGTCATTGAGGTTCCAATATATCACCAGTATGTAGTCACGCATTAGTGTCAGTATACATAGTTAAAACTGCAGCCTGTACAAGGATTTAAAAACAGTATTGTTTGTCAATAATTTTTGTGCCAAAGCTGTTGATGCTTGTGTGCTGACTCTAGCAGTAAATTTTTTTTAAGGTAAACAGCACGAAAAATCTACTCTAACGGTAAATTACCTTCATAGGGGCACTGAAGACTTTTGCTGCTGACATCTTCAGGCTGTTTGAAACTCAAGTTGGCTGATGCAACCTTGCCTTTAGGCAGAAGTCAGAAAATAAGTGTAATGCATTGTTCACAAACTGCCACATCAAGCGACTATACTGCAAACTAGAAGTCGTTACATTTAACGGTTGTTATTTTTGAAAGCTATCAGTGCAGGATTAAAGTAAGCCAGGCACAAAGCAGGTTAGATTCTCTGGCCCTAGTGCTGATGTTTCGATCCAATTCAAGTGATCCAGAGATTGTTATTTACCCATTTTGATACTGAACGAAGATTCGGTCTGTTCTGTGTCCGGTGTTTGCCAAAACAGCCCTGCTGTTTTGGATTTTTTTCTTTCAAAGACAGGTTTGTGTGGGCAAAATTTAATCTTATAATCATGAAAATAAAACAACTAACAATGCCCTGCCTGCTACATTGAAGTATTGCAGGCTACCGAATTAAAAAAAAATAGGACAAGTGTCAGTCTGACGAGCCTTGACTGATCTCGCGTGGCTCCCTCTCATGACTTTTCATTCCATTCTGTCGCAGAGCACACACAAAAATGCTCTCCTGACTTTGTTTACATTACAATGGCTTTTCCAGTATTGGTTAACTTGCAAAAAAGGTCTTTTTGAGAAAGAATTCGCTTGGTATGTCGCATGATTTCTTTAGTTTTTTTCACGATCCTGTAATCTTACTTACTCGCATAAATGCCGCAGTGTGATCGCAGAAGAATATTTGTTCAGAACACTTTCTATGAATCACGTGGCGTTGTTTCTCATAATGAGAAGAAAAGTATACTCTCAAGCAAGACAGATTTGAAGGGTCTTTTACGCGTTTTTTTTTTTTTTTTTAGTACTACTGCTACACTCCTAACCATGCAATATTCCAGTAGCAAAATTTCACTACACATAGCTGGAGGTACTATCGTGAGCAATATGAGCTCGAACACGAGAGTGCGGGACGAATAGCCTCAAGACCGAGGTCATCGCATGGGTCGCTAATTATTCGACATTACGCCAGCAGACTGTAATCGTTAATGGTGCCAGTTCATGCGCATCGCAGGTAACAGCAGGCGTCCCCCAAGTGTCGGTACTGGGACCACTTTTATTTCTGATTAACGTCAATGACATAACTGAGGGCGTAGAATCCCACATACGGTTCTTCGGAGACGACTGTGTTTTGTATAAGGAAATTAAGGATTCGCGGGACAAAGCGTTCATTCACAGATTGGCCGAAATCAGTGATTGGTGTACACGATGGCACATGCAGTTGAACTTGAGTAAGATAGTTTACATGGAGTTTACTCGTAAGAAATTAGTCTCAGACATAATACGCAATTAACGATGTCATTATAAGTAAAGTTAATGAATACAAATACTTGGGAGTGTACCTGTCGTCTAACTTAAATTGGCAGCGACATGTTGACTCTATGTAACAGGCAAGGCCGGGAAAGCGTTTGGGTTCCTTCGTCGTAACGTGAAGAACTTTAATATGTCGACTAAGGAATTGTTTTATAATGCATGTGC